GCTGCTCCTGGCGCTCATGCCGCAACTCCTGTAATTTGAGCGCGATGAGCTGGGCCTCCTGGAGGTTTGTTGACCGGGCCAGGAGCGCTCTGAGATCAGATTCCATGCGATCACTCCGCTGTTGCATTCAAGCGTGGCCTCTTTTCTCGCGCGGCCTCTTGTCTCGGTGTGGAGCCTTGTGCGCAGTGTGCTTGGGCTGAAGCCCGTGCGTGAGCTGAATTCCTGCAAAGATTGATTACGTACTCTTTACTGGCCTGTCATTGATTGATTACGTATTCTTTACTGCTGCGCCAGATGCGCGAAACCGTTTTTGGCACCTGCCTTTGCTGCTGCACCAGCAGCACCACCGCACGCTGCCTGCGCCCCCCCCCCTCCAGCGCTTGACTGCACTCGTGCGCGCGGGGGCTCGACTCCCCACCCCCCACCCCTCGCATTCTTGCAGACACTTCTTGCAAATACACACCTCGGAGCTGCTCTCCTGCTGGCTTTGTAGCCTTGCAGCACACTGGGCTCCATCTTGTCCTTTCCCAGCCGCGGCGCGCGCGTCATGTGGGGCGCGCGCAACCCGCAGCGGTCGGGTGCGTGGTGCGCCGATGTTCAGCGGCTCGGCTCCCCCCCCCCCACCCCCAGGCTTGGCAGGCAGGCGCCCGGTGCTCGGAACGGCCCCTCTTCCGCTGTGCTGCTGGGCCACACAGTAGCTGCTGCAAAAAAAAAGTCATGCCGGCGGCCGCCTCCGCTTGAAAAGGGCAAACCTGCACACAGCCTCCTCTTGGCGCCATATCCAGCGATTCAAAACAGAGGTCCCAAAAGCAATGCTGCATTGATGCAAGCTCTGAATGTAGACCAGTGGATCTAGCCAAACACCTGTCAATGGCCGTGCGGCCACAATGTTCTGACGTCACCGCACAGCAGCTGCACAACGGAGCACCCAACTGTTAGGATCGCCCCTGGGCTCTAGCCCCTATTCCTCAGAGTGGTTGTTTCACGACCAGAATAGCCCGTTGCACTCACCCCTTGCGCAGACGGCCGGCTTGTGCAAGCCGGCAGAGAGTCTTTGCGGAGCGCCAGCTGGTCAACCAGCCCCACCGTGCGGCTCGCTCGCGCGGTTTATGCAGGGCCTGGCGGCCGGCCCACGCAAGCTTGTGCGTCGTATGCTTCTGTTTGTGCTGGGTGCATTGCGCGCAGCAGGCCCGTGCGTGGGCACACAAAAGCGATTTTCCGCTGCTCCAGCGGCTGCCGCATCTGTCTGCTGCTGAGCCTGCGTCGATGTGTTATCGCGTGCCAATGATCGTGCGAGGTGAATATCCTGCATCCTTCTGCAAGTTGAGCAAAGTCAGAACAAAGGGGAGGCACGTCGTTGAGGGGGCCAGGGCACAAAAGAAAAACGGTAGCATCAAAGTCAGGCGCCCTTTTGTGGCTTGCATGAATACGCCAGTGGTGGTCACCATGGAGGCATGAGCATATGTTTTGCAAACATTTGATTTGCGCATTAGGGATTGATTTCAGTCACGTGCGCACCACCACCTTACAAATCGTGCGCACGTCCTAATGACGGCGGGTGGGGTCGTGATT